GTATCCTCCCACAAAAATACAAGTTTGAGGGATGTGTTAGCCCAGTAGGACCCTGGAATGGGAGGCAGTATGATATAATAGATAGAATATGAGGCCAGGCCTGGGACCCAGCAGACTGACCTCTGACACTCACCAGCCATGTGACTTTGGGCAAGGAACTTAACTTCCCTCAGCCTCAATTTCTTCATCCGTAGTAGTGTAATAATAATAATACCAGGAACATCTGTTTAACAGGATTGTTGGAGGCTGGAAAAAAAAACAGTTGATATAAAAAGGAAAAATAAAAGTAAGGAAATCCCCTCTTCTCTCTCTTCAGACTTGAGGAAGGGCTATTATTTATCAGAAGGACTAAAATCTTTATTATTACATAAAACTAGTCAAAAAAGTTTGCTAATTCATTCCTTGTCCTGCCTGAATATAATTTTTGCTAACAATTTCCAGTAATTCCACTGCCTATGTATCACTCAAGGATGTTGATTCTACAAAGAAAGTTTTCCTTTTTCTGGTTTTTCAGGAAGGGCACACAGTGAAGTGGTGAGAACGTAGTGTTTGGAGCTGCATGGGCTGTGGGCTCAAATCTCAGCTCCCTCCATCTATTCCTAGTTATGTGTGACCTCAGAATCTGGGCAAGCCTCAGCCTCAACCTCTAAAAACCCTTATTCCACATCTGGCCCCCATATTTAAGTAGAAAGAATATGGAGCAGCGAGGTGGTGAAGTGGATAGAGCACTAGCCCTGAAGTCAGGACTGGAGTTCAAATCCCATCTCAGACCAGACACTTGACCACTTGACACTTACTAGCTATGTGACCCTGGGCTTGCCTTACAAAAAAAATAAAAATAATAATAATAATAATCTATCCATTCCTTAACTCTAGTTTCTTTTGTAGAAGTGACTCAAATCCTTCTGTTAATACTCCCTTTTTTTTTCTCCATTTAGTCCTGTCTTTGTAGGTTATGTTATTTTAGAGAAACATCATGAGCTCTTTTTTTTTTTTAAATAAAATCCTATTTCAATCTCTTTTCTCATTTCTTATATACATAGAGTAATCCTGGCCTGTATAATTGACTTTCTTCCAAAATCAAAGGTATTCTGGCTGCTTGCAAAATCTGTTGTTTAGCATTGAAATTTTGAAATTTGCTACATGCATTGGAGTTCCAAGCATCGAGTTTTTCTCAGATAGCAATCTATAGATTCAATCAATCAGTACTTTGTCATTTGTATTCAAATTTCCTAGTTTTTTTATTATTATTTCATGTAGCATAGTATTCAGTATTTAAATTTATCCTTTTTTTTTCCTCTGGGAGACATACAGTGTTTACATTATTCCCCCAAATACTGTCTTAAAGACAGTTCATTTTGCTTGTGTAGACATTCCCACTATACTCTGCCCACACCAGATTTCAGCTGGAGTATTGTGTTCAGTTCTAGGCATCAAGGTCTGAGAAGAGCATGGATGAACTGCTGGGTGTCTGAAGGAAAGCCACTGGTACGGTGGAGGGCCTTCAGTCCGTGTTGTAGGAGGAAGGCAGAACCAAAAGAAATGAGTGCAAGTCACAGAAAGGCCAATTGAGCTTGACATCAGGAAAACCTCCTGAACAATGAAAGCTGCCCAGAAGGAGAACAGGTGGGCTGCCCTTCCATGGAGGTCCTCAAGCAGAGGCTGGCTGAGCACTTGACTGGGATTTCTTTTAGGTTGAACGAGATGGCTGCTAAGCTCTTTTCCAGCTCTCAAATTCTTTGATTCCGTAATACGTTAGAATAAACAAGTTTGAAATCTGAATGCCGGAGTCTCAAAAGGAAGCACGCTGATTAAATTAATCGAGTCATTTCTTAGAAGACCTCTAACACTGAGGAACTTCACGTTTATATCCAATATGGTTGGACCCTGATTATGCGTTTTTCTGCTATCATTTCCCAGGATTGCATCCTGAACATTTCTCCTGCCTGGTACGCACGCGTGTTTTGACAGCACTTCTTCAACGGTGGGTTGCGACCCCATAGGGATCCTGACGCACGGCTTAAGAAGCGCTAAAGGACCTTGAGTGGAGAAGAATGGAAGCAGCCCTGGACTGAGAAACTTGCACGAGTGAATAGGTAGATACGGCACGTTGTGCTCCAGGACGGAAGCTTCCTTGGGCCCGGAGTGAAGCAATTCCTTATGTAAAGATGTAGCCTTTCCCCTTAATTCCAAGGCAGTGTGGCGCAGCACTTGAAAGAGCGCTGGCTCCTGAGCTGGCGTCCGAATTCAAATTCCACCCCTGGCTGGGTACTCCTCCCAAGGGCGCATCCTTCCCAGAGTCTCAGCCAGACTTCACGCACCTCCGGGTTCTGCTTCCGACCTTCAACACCAGGCCCCCACACATCTTGTTCCCCCCACCTCCCTCCGCCTTCGGGTCCTTTTTGTGTTACTGTTTTCCCCCATTAAAACAAGTTCTCTGAAGGCAGGAACCATCTGGGTTTTTGCTCCTATTTGTGTTCCCAGTGCTTAGCACGCAGCAAGCGCTTATTTATTGCTTGGTTTGCCTCGTCTACCGAGAGGTCTTGGACAAGCCAATTAACCTTTCTGGGCCTCAGTTTCCTTATCTGTAAAATAAGGGTGTTGGACTGGATGGCTGGCCTCCAAGGTCCCTGCCAGCTCTCAACCTTTGGTACCCAAATACCCTGTTAGACAAAGATGCCAGAAAGATTAGCAAGTAAGAGCTGGGCAATGAAAAGTCATTTAAGTTTATTGACATAAATAGGGTGATAAAAATACAACTGAGTCCCTGCCAACAGGGTTGACATATCGCACAATTGAAATCATCGGGAAGGGAAGACAAGAAGAACATTTCCAAAGATAGCAAGACAGCTGCTTCTGGTTCAGACCCAAGAGTAGCAGTCACCTTCCCCCACTGCCCAGGGACCCACTTCACAGAATGAGGTTATTGATTCATTGAAAGCAGCTAGAGGCGGACAGTCTCAGAATGGTGAGCTTTAAAAAACAAGAAGTCAAGTGAACATCCATCATCGGCGTAGACTTCGCGGCATTCTCTACCTTTCGGAACAGCCAGGAAGCCCCGCTGGCTCCGGGAAGGAGAGGGACCACCGCAACCTGTCCTCTCTGCTGGGAGGGTCTTCAGCACTCGAGAGACCGGCCCTGCTCCTCACCTCGCTCCTCCCCGCTTCTCCATCTGCGCTAAACTGGGTCCCTCTCTCCTGAAGGTTGCTCGCCAGAGGCCACTCTTCCTCCTCGCTAAACGGCCTGCCCACTGGACGGCCAGAGCGCCTACAGGCCCACCACTCCAGGTTCGTTTCTTTGGCTTCAACGCTGCCCTTTTTAAGGTCCTCTCTTCAGACGCAACATTTAATCCACCAACAATTATCAAGCAAGTACTGCTGCAGGGTACGGATTCAAATAAATCCTCACTTGAGGATCCAATTCTCTAAGTATATAAGTGAGTGCCCCCTATGTGTGTGACATTGGTAAGGATACAAAAAAAAAAACTCCCTCCCCCCCACCCCACCCCGAAACGTCCATTCTATTGGGAATTCAATCTTTATCTAGGGAAGTAACTAAGGGGAGAGGGGGATGAGCAAAGGCTTCCCATACAAAGTATCCCCTGAGATGAGCCTTGAAGTGATAGAAAATAAAGAAATGCTCAAAGGAGAGAAAAAAGATGATCATGTGACGCAGGAGAGGGCCTCAGAGGGTGGTAAGTTAGTCCAAACAAACCGAGGTCCCAGGGAGTGAAATGATTTGCTCAAGGGTCACACAGGTCACTGCGAGTCCTAAAGCTGGGCTTTCACTGGGCCAGGCCATGCTACTTCCCTGAAAGAACGAGGGGACGGGGACAGCAAAGGCAAATAAATCATCGTCATCACGGCAAACTGCATCAGAGCCTCCAGTCCGGCCCAAGGGTTCAATACCTGCTCTCTTAAAAGGGAAGCCAAGAACACAAGTGGACCTTGGAGAAGGTAGAGGGAGTGAGTAGGGGGGGACCCCAAAGTCCTGCACAGAGAGAGAGCGGCACGCCCTAAGAGGAAGAAAACGGGGCTTAGAGCGAGAGAATCTGGATTTGGGTCCTGGTAGAGCCAATCGCTGGGCCTATTACCAGGAGGGAGTTTGCCTCTGATTAATAACACTTGCAGAAGTATCTACCTTCAGGGCTGGGATAAGGAAAAGTGTATTATTAAACTGTAAAAATACTATTGTTATTATTGCCATCTTCTGTTCCTTTTGATAGGTTTAAGGCATAACTGCAGAGTCATCGAGGGGGCCTCTTCCCACCCTGAGGAACAACGGTCTACATTTGCCCACTTAATACACATTTATTCCAAACCATGCCCTCCTGAGACGGTCTTTGAGTAATATCTAAGTAACAAATATCGGCAACCAATTAGGTGGGTTTTTTTAAACGTCAGCTAAGAGAAAAATCTCGTTGTAGGGTGGATATTTGTCGGGTGAATGTAAAAGAAATACGAGGGTTTCCATTTCTGAGATGCTGTCAGAGTACCGTCTAAATGAGTGCCCTGAACAAGCACTGATGGCCCACGTACTGGCTGGGAAGGCAGGGACAGCGCCAGGAAGCTCTTCCTTCATCTGGAACAGGCCAATGCAGACCACCCAGGTCTCTTGTACCATTCTTCCTTGGTCCATTGCTAATCCTGTTAATTAAGAGATGAGCATCACTCTTTGAGCTTATCGCTGCTGCTCTAAACGGTGGCATCATTCTGAATTATTGACTATGGAGCAGAACTAGAGGGAAAACCACGGCTACCCACCCACTCAGCTCAGACTCAGGCACTCCCAAGTTCCATCACCAACCTCAGAGCACAGATCTGTTCTTCTACAACAAAAGGGGAATCCACTGTTCAACTCAAAGTACGTCAAAGAGACAATTTAGGAAAAACAGCCGCCTGGTCCCAGGAAGCCGACCAGGTCACGGATCACAGGCTGGGGCGGGGGGGGGGGGGGGGGGGGGGGGGAAATGGGACAAGAAAGAGTTCCATAATGGTTGAGATACTAAGTAACTGCAGACGCTCCTGCAACTTCGGGCTGAGGGAGGACTCATTTGGCAGGAGTGGTCTCTGGCCCGGCGGCTTCTGTGGCCAGGGATGCTGAGGCACTGGGAAGAGTATCTGCAAGGGGAGATGCCGGCGGGCTGGGGGCTAGGGCCGGTGCTACTGGAACTGGGTGCTGCTGCAGGTACTCCAGATACTCCTGCATCCAGGGATACTGCTGTGACTGCTCGTGAAGCTGGCGGAGGTACTCAAGCCACAGCTGCCTCTCGGGCTGCTGTCCTCTCTTCAGGGTCTGGAGCCGGGAGGGTGTGCTCTGGGGGGAGCTGCCCCAGGCCTGGGACTTTAAACAGGGATGAGACTCCACAGTCAGGGCAGGAGGCTGAAGCCAGGCTCCTGGGCTCGCGGAAGCCTCCTTGGTGAGTGCCGAGGCCGTCGCCACCGTCTCTGGGAAGCCAGGACTCTCCCCAAGGGTCACCTTCGTCATCTTAGATGAGGGGAACCTGGATCTATTTGGCCAAGCTAACTGGGTCTCTGGGAGACTTTCCTGCGGAACCTGGCTGGCAGCCGAAGTCTGAGGATTTTTCAAGCCATGAACCAAGGAGCTCTGTTCTCCCTGGTCCTGGGGCTGTCCCGATAAATTCAGACTTTCTTTTTCCTTCAGTTGTCTTGAGTGTTTGGCTCTTCGGTTTTGAAACCAATTCTAAAAGGGGAGAGAAAGAAATCGTATGAAGTCCACTAAGCTAGATTTTTTTCTTCTCATAAGAGCGGCAGGTTTCAGGGAAGGAAGGGAGGAAGGGTAAAGAAAGGGAGAGTGGAAAGGAGAGAGGGAATGGGAAAGGAGAAAGGGAAGGAAGGAGAGAATTATATAGTGCGAAGTACTTCACAAATACTGTCTCAGTTGATTTCATCTAAACCAGTTTGATTAACAGGAGCTTTGGTAAGACATGACCACTCCAGCACAAATTCCCTAAGTTACTTCTATTACTTTTAAATTACTAAAAAACATAATTCTGAGTAGGGGTCCACAGGCTTCACTGGGCAAAAGGGTCCAGGACGCTCAAAAGGGTGAAGAACTCCTGCTCTGGAAACAGAGACTATCCACAGAGTTAGGTGTTTTATGGCATTCACAGGTTTACTACTCAATGCCTTACACACAGCAGATACTTAATAAAAGCTCACTGAAAAGAAAAACAACCTGCGCATCTGGAAAGGTAGCACGGTGTGCTGAAGAGGACACAGGGCTTGGAGTTAGGCAAACCAGAGTTCCAATCCTACGTCAGACCCATTCACTGGTTATGTGACTCTGGGCAAGTCACTCGGCCTCTCTGTGCCCCAGTGCACTCCCCTGTAAAATGGAGCAGTTGACTTCCTAAAGTTCCTCCCGGCTCTGTATCTATTGTCCTGAGACCATAAAGCCTTTTATCAATGTGGGGCAACAGTACGTGTAAAGCACTTCACAGACCTTGTAGTGCTACGTTAAGTAGACACAGAATCAACAGGAGGTGTCTGGGAGGGAGCTGGAGGAGGGCACTCGCGGCAGAGTAGGGATCAGGAAAGGCTTTGTGGACAAGGCGGTACACCAACTAGGCTTTGAGGGAAACCAGGGGATCTAAGCAGCTGGCTCGAGGACGCAGCGCTTCCCAGACACGGAGAGGCACCGAGGCAAAGTAACGTACTGGCCCAACCACAGGCCCAAGCTGGCTCGGAAAAAGGCAGAGTGCGGTCAGTAACCCAGGGCACAACCCAGCTGGCTTCTGGGGGGACACAACCCAGCGAGCAGAAAAGTGAGACAGCTGCTAGCAGATCTGGCAGAGTAAGAGGAACAAAGAATTCAGGCGTCTGCTGTCAGTGGCTTAAAAAAAGCCACCCCACCCTTCAAGTCCAACGCATAGGGCGGGAAGGACAGAAAGAAACGAAATTCAGCAAAAGCACAAATCATAATTACCAACATTTCCACGGCACTTCAAAGCTCATGGAGCACTTTGTACTGCTGACAACAACCCCACATGGGACATACTGGAGGTATGAATGCCCATTTACAGTTGAGGAAACTGAGGCTCAAAAAGACCTAATGACTTATCCAGGGTCATACAAATAATGACAGAAGCAGGATATGAAGCTAGATCTTCCTGACACCCAGGCCACCCCTGTAGAGGGGTATTTACCCATATACTTATTCTTGGGTTTTAAAAAAACTAATACACAGTCTTAGAGGCAAGCAAGGTGGTACTGGGCTAAAGTACTGGGTCTAGAGTCAGGAAGACCTGAGTTCAAATCCAGCCTCATCACTTAGTAGCTGTGTGACCCTGGGCATGTCACTTCACCTCTGTTTGCCTCAGTTTCCTCAACTGTAAAAGGGGGATAATAATTGCACCTACCTCCCAGGGTTGTTGTGAGGATCAAATGAGATATCTGCAAACTGCCTGGCATATAGTAGGCACACTTAATAACCGCTTCCTCCCTTCCCATCCTCCAGACCTTTGTTCTCTCTGAGAACAAGAACCTCTCCTCCCCTCTCTCCTGTGTTCCAGGAATGAACCCAAATCAACTTTGCTAACTGTTAAGATCCATCTTTAACGGTTCAGGGGTGCGTCCTACAAAGTCAGAAGAGGGTGGGGAGTTCAATCACTTTTCTTCTTAGACGCCACTCTTCTTTACTAGAAGGTCCAAGTCATAACTCTACGACTTCTACTTATTTTTACAAATAAAACCCTAGGTCACCGATGAGACGGAATAGGGCCCGAACCCAGGGATGTGACTTGGCCACACGTGACTGCATCCCACGTTGGTGAATTTCCACCTCGGGATAAACTGGAAAGCACCCAGGAGGCCTTGAGGACGGAGGGGATTGGGCCGTTTCCTCCTCTCCCGCACCCTTCTCAGCCTTTTGCCAGCCTGGACGGCAGCCTCTCGTTCTTCTGAATGAATCTCTCTTCACCATCTGACAATAGCATCTGGCACTTAGCACTTAACAGATGTCTACTCACCAACTGTTCCTCCTCATCCCAGACACTCTCCTCTCTCTATGCTGCTCTCTCCTGCTCCTCAGCAGCCATGGCACAGTGGATAGAATGCTGGGCCTGGAGTCAGGAACACCTGAGTTCAAAGGCAGCCTCAAACGCTTACTAGCTGTGTGACCCTGGGCAAGTCACTTCGCCCGTTTGCCTCAGTTTCTTCATATGCAAAATGGCTGCTAGGGTTGTGAGGACTAAATGAGATAATATTTGAAAAGTGCTTAGCACATAGCAGGCACACTTAATAAATATTTATTGCCTTCCCTGGTTTTCCTGTCTGGCTGACTTGGGGGCTACATCACCCCTATCATGCCCCCTCAGACCTGTCCAGGGCTCTTCTTTCCCTGACGTGGTTACCTTATGAGCTCCCATATGTTTAGTGATCATTTCTACACAGACAGCTCCCAGATCAACATATAGACAGCCTGATTCTCTTTCCTTCATCACTCACTGCTTAATGGACGTTTTTAACTGGGTAGTCAGCTCGCAGGCGTCTCAGACTCAATCACTCCCGTGTCCAAACAGAACCAATGATATTCCCTTTCTTCTCGACTTCCTTATTACTCCCAAGGACACCACCAGCCTTCCCCAGGTTCACAACCCCAGGACCAGCTTCACCTTCACTCTCCCTCACCCCACAACCCACACAGCCCCCAAATCTGTTGATTTTAGCTCTACGACATCTCTTGCATCGTATTTTTAAAAGCTGAAGGCAATGCTACATTTTTGTCTGAGGTGAGTGAAAATACAAATGTCATTCACAGACCCCCTGAAATCGATTCCCAGACTCGATGTTAAGAAGCCCCAAGGGGGCAGCTAGGTGGTGCAGTGGACAGAGCACTGGCCCTGGAGTTAGGAGGACCCGACTTCAAATCCAGCCTCAGATCAGACACTCAACACTTACTAGTTGTTTCACCCTGGGCAAGTCACTTAACCCCCATCAGGGTTGTAGTACTGCTTTGTTATAGTGTTTTGTCACTCTATCCTATCTCCTAAAGAGGGTAAGTGATCTAGCCTCATATGCCAAGAGAAAGGCAAAGTGTACTGAAAACACAGATAAATAAAATAAGACCATTTGTCTGTGCTTGAATCGAAAGAAGTCTTTTCTCTCCCCTTACGCTCACAATGGCAATTTTTGGCTAAAAGGATTCCAAAACCTAGCAACTGAGCACGTGTGAGTGTGAGTGAGTGTGTGTGTGTGTGTGTGTGTGTGTGTGTGTGTGTGTGTGTATACTGTCTAAGGACCAGCTCAGCCTAGCCAAGCTACCAAAGGACCTGACCGAGTGATGTTCTGTTTCATAGTTTTACTTTTGGGGGAGAGGCAACATCAACTCATGAAATCATCTATGGAGTTTAAATTAAATTATCTACTAAGGTATGAGCTGAGGGTGTTGTAATCTGGGTCCACGGAAAGAGTTCCACTGCTGATTAACAAAAAGTATCTCTCTCTCTGTGCTCACACATACTAAAGTGTTAGTGTTGGTTAGCTTAAAACACATATTCTCTCTTTCTCTGTGTGTGTGTGCGTGTGTGTGTGTGTGTGTAAAATTTCTGCCTTTCAGAAGAACAGCAGTACTGAACACTGGCAAGAGCGTTAGATTTTATACTCAAGAACCTGGGTTCAAATCCCTCGAGCGAGCCATTTCATTTTTTGAGGGTTTCCTCATTTATAAAACGATGGGATCAGACTACAATAATCTCTCAGGTTCCTTCCTGCTCTTGATCCTAGAATACGCACCCAATGTTAGGTGGAAGCCCATAGTTTGACCAACATGTTATCCTCAGGTACAGACCAAGGGACCGTCTTCAAAAGCTCTATTTGTAGCCCTTCTCTTTTCAAACGAGATCCACATCAATCTTGTCTTACAGCGAATTCTGCTTTAAATTTCAAACCTGGTATATTTGTTAACCTGTAGGTTCTCCCATCACTGACAAAGATTCCACAAACTGAGGCAGTAGTAAACTGGCAAAGATTTTTCAAAAATGCAAACACAGGCGTGCTCGCCCACTGTTGGGGGAACTATGAACTGATCCAAGCATTCTGGGAAACTAGACCTTACACTGAAAAAGGCACTAGATAGCTCACCCTCTTTGTCCTCAAGCTACCACTACTGGAGGTTAAAGACAGAGGCCAAGGTCCCGGGCACACCAAATATTTACAGGAGCACTTTTTGTAGGAGGAAGAAAGTAGAAATAAAGTAGATACCCACTGACTAGGGAACGACAAAAAAAAAATATGACTTACTGATATAAAGGAATATTATTGAACCATAAGAAATTACAAAGAATTTAGAGAAACTGAGGAAGACACATAAACAGTTTACTCATCTGTAAAACAGAAAAGCAGCACCTAATTTGTAGGGTTACTGTGAAGGTCAAATGAGATAAAGCAAGTAAATACTACCATATTAATGCCAGCTATTAGTATTAGTCAGTCAACAAATATTTATTAAGCACCTACTATGTGCCAGGCATGGTGCTAAGCACTAGAAATACCAAAGAGGCAAAGAATGATCCCTGCCCTTGAGGAGCTCTCATGAGTCTAACGGGGGAAACAACATGAAAATAAACACCAACGAGCCATAGAGAAGACAGATATGAAGCCCCCACAGGGGAAGGGGTGACAGAGGCTTCCTGCAGGAAGCGGGATTTGGGCTGGGACTTGAAGGAAGCCAGGGAGGCCAGGAGAGAGAACGAGGGAAAACTGCACAGATGCAGGGAAAGCAAAGCAGTGCCTCGTCCTTCCGGGAGGAGAGGCGGTGGACCCCCGGGGCAGGCACAGGTTCCGGGCCAAGACCGAGACCTTCACTTCCTGGAGGATTCTATCAGGACGAGGATGAAGGTGGAAATGGCAGGAATGCATCTTCACCCCAAAAAGAGGAAAAGGAGCTGGACTTTAATGGTGATGCTCAGGCATCATTATAGAATTAGAATGTGAGCTCCGGGAGGGCAGAGACCATGCTTTTGCCTTTCTTTGTATCTGTGCTATTTAGGCTCTGGGCAGCTTGCATTTATTAAGCGCCTACTGTGTGCCAGGCGTTGTGCTAAGTGTGCCAAGTGCTGAGTAAATGTTTGTTGATGCTGACGGTTAGCCTTGTAGCTTAGTGCACTGCCAGGAAAATGCACGGGAGGAGGCGTGAACCTTTAACTTACCTGTATTCTAGACTCGGGAACATCCAGGCGGTTAGCAAGCTCACTTCTGACGGAGTAGTTAGGGTATGGGTTCTTATGAAACTCCCCCAGGAGAATATCCAGCTGAACTTCATTGAACATGGTACGCTCCCTCTTTGCCCCTTTTTTACTGCTTGTCGATGAGTCGGAGGTCAAGGCAGGTTCTAAGGGAAGGGTAAAAGTTTAGGAGTCTTTCAAACAAGAATTTCTATCTGCTTTGCATGGAATGCAGATGAACCCATTTCTTGACACGCTGACTAAATGTTAAGAATGCAAGCTTCCTGAAGGCAGGGGCTGGTTTTGCCTATTTTTTCTTTAACCCTTCCCCAGTCCCTGGGAGAGTAAACACCTGTTGATTGAATGACTGATCACATTGGGGACACAGGATTTACACATGTCTCAGGCAAACCAGGGATCCTTAAGAGGCGGTGGGGAAGGGAGGACATTCCAGACCCAGGGCCCAACTGTGACAAAGCACGAGGGACAGTAAGGCGGCCAGGGTGCCGAGGCCTCAGAACCCCAGAGTTCTCCACAACCGAGGGCTGCCTGCTCCACACAGGAAGCCTTTCCAGACCCTCTGGCAGGCACGCAGCCCACCGTGCTCCCTCCCTCTGCAGTGACTTTTCTTAGCTGTGACACATTCCTCCAGCCCCACTTCACCCCCAGCCTGCAGCAGAATCCAAGCTCTTTGAGAGACAGAGCTATTGCATTTTCAGTCTATCTCCTGCTACATCTGAAAATTAAGGTAAACTGAGAGACAAGTTTCCAAGCATGATCAATTATTAGGTACGCTAACAGCAACCAATCAATTTTAGGCAGCAAAGTGGAGCAGTGGATAGAGCATCGGGCCTGGAGTCAGGAAGACCCGAGTTCAAATCCAGCCTCAGACACTTCCTACTTGTGTGAGTGGGGCAAGTCATATAACTTCTCTCTGCCTCAGTTTCCTCAACTGTAAAGTGAAGATGATAATAGCACCCAACTCCCAGGCTTGTTGGGAGGATCAAATGAGGTAAAGCACTTAGCACAGTGCTTGGCACAAAGCAGATGCTTAATAAATGCTTCTTCCTTCCTTCTTATACTATTGCAATCTGTTAATTATAAATTTTAACTATAAATGATTGGTTTCGGGGGCAGCTAAGTGGCACAGTGGATAGAGCACTGGCTCTGGAGTCAGGAGGACCTGAGTTCAAATCTGGCCTCAGACACTTGATACTTACTAACTGTGTGACCCTGGGCAAGTCACTTAACCCCAACTGCCTTGCCAAAAAACAAACAAAAAAAATCTATAAATGAACAGTTTTGTTGATTTGAAAGACCCAGTTCAAATGCCACCAAAATAAGGTCTTGCCCAATCTCCACAAGTAGACACACTCCCTTCTCTACTCCAGAATGCCAAAGCCCATCTACCAACACGATGAGATTCTGCTGCACTGAAATTTTACACTTTTATTTCCTTTGCCTGCTTTTGTATATTCTGGAAAGCTTATTCTCAGGGCTCACAGTCTCAGAAAAGGAATGAGACCTCAAACGCCACCCACCACAGAGGCCAAACCTCCTCTCTACCCCCAACTAAACAGCAAGGTTCTGGCAGGGATTTTACATCTATGAGCCCCCTTCAACCTCTGAACAGAACTTCTCAGGGTGCTTTGCAGGCACAACCTACTTCAAACTGATAAGAGCTGGAGAAAACACACAGCACAAGATAAGAAAGGTGATGGAAATAGATGGAGACAGGCTTCATGATTTTCCTCAAGAAAATCAGTTATAAGACTCCATTTCAAATGGACTTTTCACTGCCATGGGGATCAGGAGGGAAAGAAAGCAAGCATTTGGGGATAAAGTGGTTCAGCGGGGGAACAATGATGATGATGGTAATAGCTAGCATTTACAAAGCACTTTAAGGTTTGCAATAGGCTTTACATAGTTCATCTCATTTGATAAACATGAAAAATGAACATCAATAAAACATTTTTTAAAGGCACAGAAGAAAAATGCAGAAGGGTTCACAAATAGAGCAGTTTTGTTACTACGTTATTGAACATAGGCAAAAGGCAGTTATTTTAAATAACCTTGGTATTTTTTAATGTTCCTATTTATTAGTCTTTATAATTTTGTTTATTATTACATAACAATTAAATTAAATTAATTAAATTTAATTGAAGTTTTATTATAAAAAAGAAAGAAAACAAGTAAATCTTTTGATCAAATTTGGACTTAGAGGCAGAAAATAAGCAAAGTAGGTTTCTAGTCTGAAGCTTCCCTCCTTAGCAAACTATTTTATTTCTGAAGAAAGCCGGGTACCCTGCATCCCTCAGAATTTCCCTTCAGTTATTTATAAAATCATCAAAACCAATCCTGACCCACGACAAGAGATGGCAGTACCGAAGCAACTTCCTTGTATGTGCAATAGCAAAGGAAAAAAAAGTCCCCATTCCTAATATAGCACCCCTTTCTCACCACCAGGGATGGAGGAAATTTGGACAGCTATGTATGGTCTTACAAGATATACTAAAACTTTTATTTTATTTTTTTTTATTGCCAACTTCACAATCAAACACAACTTTTCCACATACAGAAGGAAAAGGTTTGTATAAAAAACAGTGAATTTCTGCTATCTACAATTTGTTTTATAAACATTTATTAAGCCCTGACTTGTCCCAGACACTGTGCTAAGCACTTAACAAATATAATCTTATTTGAGAGGAAAGGCTTTTTCAATGAGCATTTTTTGGTTTGTTTTTGAGGCAATTTCAAACTTTGTTTTTGAGTGGCTTACTGGAAAAACTGATGAATCTGGAATCAGGAAGACCGGAATTCAAATCTGACCACAGACACTAGCTGTGAGACCTCCTTCCCTCATCTCTAAAATGGGGATAATTCTAGCACCTACCTCCCAGGGTGGTTTAAATGAGATGATGTGAGATGATATTTATAAAGTACTGCAGAAACCTAAAAGCGGCAACCCAGAGAGCTAATACTCTGGAGGCAAACCAGCGCTCAATAGCTTCCAGTCAACCACAAGGCCATTATTGTGTAAGTGCCTAGTATCATTATTCATGTACCTGAGCAAGAGCTTAAGCCACAGACTAGCTGGGCCCCAAGGAGCCAATGTTCCCGAGGGGGAGGTGATTGGGGGAGGGAGAGAACTTGGGGCACACACTCAAAGCACGTGCGCTGTGATTTCATCACTAGTGGGAGCAAAACGAAAGGCTTCCAGAAGAAAGAGGCCAAAGAGTAGAGGCTGGGCTTCCATGAGGGCGCAGACAGATCCAAGCCACAATCCCTGGTGAAGGGGATGATTCCACAACAATCGGAGAAACCTAAGCCAGGGACGGCCGGTTCATTCATTTATTCGCCAGCCACTTAGTAAAGGCTGTGGAAGGGCATGGCACCACGCATCAGGCTGGGAAGAAACAAACCCAGCAGCACACCAGCCCTTGCCTACTCTCGCACCCAATGAAAGAATGAAGAGAAAAAGTCTCATGAGCTCTAGAAATCCAGGTAACCCGGACTATGGGTTATATGCCACCATGCCACCAACACCACAGAAAAACAGGGGATAAGTCACTGGGCCCAGGATGAGAAGGGCAAGTCAATACTCACCAATCTTGGAGGGCTTCATGGTGGCTGGTCGGCTACGTGAGTAGGACGTCTTTCTTGGCCTATAATGGAAGAAGAAATAGGAAGTTGTCACACCTTAGTCAATTAGGGAGTGGGAAGCAGGGAGTTAACTGGTATTTATTCTTTTCCCTTCAAGTGCCTCAGGTCCTTTTGTTTTTTTTTTTTTTCCCTGGAGGTAAAGTGCTCATCCCTTCTTTTATTGGATAAACTTGGTTATCACTGCATCTTGCCCTTTAAATCAAGGTTCTTAAAACTGGTTTGTGTCTTTTTGTGACCTCTGGCAGTCTAGTGAAGCCTATAGACCCAAAGCTAGGAATAATGTATTTAAATGCTTAAAATTAAATGCATAGAATTACAAAGGAAACCTATTATCTTGAAATAGTTAACAAAATATCTTTTTGTAAATTCACAGACCCCAGCTTAAGCAACTTTGCTTTAAATGAACCTAACTCTGTGCCCAATTGAGCAAAGACCAGGCAAATAGCCTTTTTCCCTATATTTTCTTCCTTTTCATCACTTCCTTATTCTCGTTATTGGTCCAATAAAAAGGTACACTCCAGAGGGCCGTCTGTCTTGCATTATTACTTAGCTCTGCCTCCATAGCATAGTAAGCACTTAATGAATGCTTTTTTATTCATTCTTTGCAGGTGGCCAATTAGGGTTTTTCCCTGTGTCTCTCCTGTCTTTCTACTAAATCATATCTGATGGTAAGACAAAGGTGCCAGGGCCATACAAATACAATTATTTCTACTAATTATTAATATGGCCCAAAAGTTCAGATGTCATCTTCATGGCTGAGGGGATTTCTCTGCAAAGAAACTGGAGGGATTTTTTAACCACTTAAAATAATTAAAACTATAAAGTATTAGGTGTTAAAGTAGGGTTTAAATCCCTGCCACTTAATGTTTAAAATGCTGTCAACCCCAGCATATTCAGGATTCTCTTTGTACCAGACAAAAGGTCTTTTCCATTGTGCCTGGAAGCCTCGATTTGCTTTACTTTTTTTCAGACAGTTCAACGTTCCATAAAGATGCCAGAATTTCAAGTGAATCTTTCAATTACTTGGGGGCTCCTTTTGGCTAAAGCCTGGGAGACTTGTGCCTTACGAAGGCCCAGGTGAAGCTTTGCTCAACCATCGGAGAATTAAGCAGACCTGATACTCCAAGAAACACTGTTTTCACAAGGCCGGAGATGTAATCAAGACAGTCAGTCTCGAATAGTAGAGAGAAAAAAGCCTGAGCTGTGAATGTCTAAACTCAGCTAAACTCAGCCAGCGCACATGCTATCTCTGCCCGGCTGCTTTTACACATCTGCCTGGAGGGTAAGGCCTGAAATTACTCTGGATTTCCCTATCTGGGCACTGTGGCTTCAGGGAGAAGATCTTAAACCCATCCAGGGCACAGACTGCTTCTTCTCTTCATTCAACAAAGCTTTATTAAACACCTTTTCTTCTGTGGAAGGCCTAGTACTACTTGCTGGGCATATCAAAGACCAAAGCAAAATGACTTCCCAGCACTGGATAGCTGCCATCCGGTCCAGGTTATTCCATTCTATCATTCTGCTATTAAGCACCTACTATGTGCTGGACATTGTGCCAGGTGCTGAGGGTCCCAAGAAACGTCCCTGCTCTGGGGGAGGTCAGGGTTTGACGGGGGAAACAACACGCAAAGAGCTCGGGACAAACAACCTACATCCAGGATCAATTAGACATAATCAAGAGAAGGAAGGCCCTAGAATTAAGGTGCCTCCCTGAGAAAGGCTCTCTGCAGACATGGGATTTGAGCTGGGACTTGATGGAAGCCAGGAGAGCCAGGAGGCAGAGAGGAAGAGGCAGAGGATCCCAGGCCTGGGGGCCAGACAGTGAAAGGAAGTCGATGATCCTGGTCCACAGAGCAAGCTTAAGCTGAAGGGCTGGAGAGGGTCTGGTCTGAGAAGCCTGGCCAGGCAGTGGGGAGGGTTAGGTTATGAACGGTTTGAACAGCGAATAGAGGGCTTTGTTTGCTCCTGGAGGTACAGCGAGGAGAGTAACACATAACCAATGTGAAGAAGTAAGTTGGGGAGAAATCATGAAAAGCTTTAACACCGAATAAAGCAGTTTGGATTGTTCCCAGGCAGCTGGGAGACAGCACAGTCAGGCCTCAGCTTTAGGAAAACTAACCTGGCTGCTGTGTGGAAGGTGACTTGGGGAAGGCAGAGGCTTCAGGAAGGAGGTGAATTGGGAAGCTACTGTGACGTTCCAGGTCAAGAAATGATGAAGGCCTGAACTGGACTGACACTGCTATCCGAGTAGAGAGGAGTGGATAGATGCAAGCGGGGTGTCCTGGTAAATAATGTTTAACAACCAGCTGGGAGAGGTCAGGAAATATTTTAAGTTTTACCTTCATTATTAACACTTTCTCCATCAGTGTCTTAAGTCTAGACAGTCAACAGAACAATAAGTCAAGCCCATTTCGGAGGGGTTAATGCTGAAATTTAACAATCGGCTCTCCCGAGTTGGTATGAGCCAGCTGTTGCACACCCCTGGACACAAGAGACTTTGTAATTGAAGAAATGACAATATTTGACCACTGACTTTTATACGTGGGCTGAGAGAGAGAAAAGTGAAGGATGATTTTGAAGCTGTGAACCCAGGTGGTCAGAAGAATGATGGCAACCTGGACAGAAAAGAGAAATCTGAGAGAGAAGGACCTGGGGGGAAAGGTAATGAATTTTGTTTTGGACATGCTGAGTGTGAGATGTCTACAGAGCACTGCATTTGAAACGTCCAAAGGGTAGCTAGAGGCGCATAACTAGAACTCAGGAGAAAGACCAGGGCTAAATCTACAGACCTGGGACTCATCTGTATGGACACATCAACTTAAGCCACGAAAGCCACGCCGGGCACTGCATTAAGGGCTGGAGATACAAAGAAAGGCAAACACACAGTCCCTGCCCTCAAGGAGGTCACATTCTGAGGGGGGACGACACACAAAGAACTATGTACAGTGTGAAGAGAAGGTCATCTGAGAGGCAAGGAACTAGCACAGTGTGTGCGTGGATGTGCACGTGTGTGTGTGTGTGTGTGTGTGTGTGTGTGTGTGTGTGTGTGTAAGGAGGGGGGAAAGGTCTCTTGCAAAAGGCGGGCTGTGAAGAAAAGCCAGGGAAGCCTGGAGGTAGAAGTGAAGAGGGAGAGCCTAGTAAGCGTGGGAGACAGACTGCGAAAAAGCACAAAGATTGCCCAGAGAATGCTGAGCCAGGGCCTGGACCTAACCCCTGACTGACCGGGAGACAGCATCACGTCTGAGGAACAGCAAGAAGACCGGTGTCGCTGGACCACAGGACGGGAATAAAGGGCGAGAAAGCTGCACAGGCAGTGAGGGGCCAGACAAGTCAGACAGAGGATTCTTCTACTTGATCTGGGCGTAAGAGGAAGCCACCGGAGTTCGCATGGTCAGACTTTCAAGCAGGAAGATCACTTGGGCATCTGAGTGGAGGACAGACTCAGGGGGAGGGCTTGAGGCCAGGAGAGCAATGAGAAGGCTATTGAAACAGTGCAGGCTGGAAGAGATGAAAGCCAGCACCAAAGGGGCACCTGTGTGAGTAGAGAGAAGACAGACAGAAGAGACGGTAGGAAGGCAGAAGGACAAAGCTGGGCCACAAACGGGAGCGGGAGGGAAGAGCTGAGGATGACCGCCAGGCCGCAAACCTGGGTGGTCTGGAGGAGAGAGAAACCCTCAAAAGTAACAGGGAAAGGGAGCCGGAAGAGGGCAAGGTTTGAGGGAAAGGTAACGAGCTTTGTTTTAAAGACGTTGACTTTGGAACGCCTATGAGCCATCCAGTTTGAGAGGTCCATTAGGCAGGTGGGAGACTGGAGGTCAAGAGAGAGGTTAGAGCTGGATAAATCGATCTGAGAATCATCTGCACGGTTGACAAGTGAACCCATGAATACTGATAAAATCGCCAAGTAAGAAGATATAGAGGGGGGAGAGAAGAGGGCCAAGGACAGAGCTCTGTGGGACACCCAGGGTTAGTAGAAACAACCCGGAGGAAGATCCAGAAAAGAAAGAGAGAAGGAACAATCGGACAGCTAGAAGGAGAACCAGAAGAGAGAGGTGTCTCAAAAACCTAGTGAGGACAAAGTACGCGGAAGAAAAGGGTGGTCAGCTGTGTCCAGGGCTGCAGAGAGGCCAAGAAAGGGGAGGATTAAGAAGAGAACGTTAGAGTTAGCAATTAAGAGATCACTGGTAACCTTGGAGAAAGCCGCGTCCATCGAACGATGAGGCAGGAAGAAAGAGAGAAGGGACGATCGTGGGGGCAATCCACCAGGGAAGATGGGAGGGGAGGGGGTCCGGAGAACATGGAAAAGCCCGTGCTCAGCGTGGTATAGCCACGTCCACAAACATCACCTACTATGTGCTAGGCACGGTGCCAAGCACTGGAGATACAAAGAAAGACAACAACTGGTCCCCGCGCTCAAGATGCTCACAGAAGACAACAGGCAAACCACTACAGACAAACAAGAGATATGCAAGATAAATCAGAGACGATCAGAAGAGGAAAGGCACTAGCATCAGGGGGATGAGGAAGTGGGTTCTGAGCTGGGACATGAAGGAGGCCAAGAAGCCTGGAGGCAGAGATGAGAGGGGAGGGAATTCCAGGGATGGACAAAGGACAGTGAGAGACAGGGTCCTGTTCAAGGAATGGCAAGGATGCCATTCTGGTGTCACCAGATAGCAGAGTATGGAGAGAAGAGTAACACCTACTTAGACTGGAAGGCAGAAAGGGGTCAGCTTAGGCAGAGCTTTACAAGCCAAACAGAAGGTTTTTACATCGGATTCTAGAGGTGACACGGAGATAACATAGTCAGAACTGAACTTTAGGAAGATCAGTGAAGGACGGTGCCAGCACCTACCAGCTGTGTGAGCCTGGACAAGTCACTTACCTTCCCCGAGTCTTAGTTTCCTCACCTGTAAAAGGAGGGGGTGGGGTAGACTAGACAGTCGCTGAGGTTCCTTTTAATTCTACGTCTGTGGACCTGATGTATGTCCACCAGGGACTGGAGT